CACAGATTGGTATGGACCTAGATTTAGCAGCTAGTGATATACATCGCCAGAGAGTGCCGTTGAGACGTTCAATCTGTCCATTTGATTGGGGGTTGTATGCTGTTGTTCTACTGGTAACTATTCCTTTATCGTGGAGAAAATGTTTTAATTCTGCAGACATAAACGACGATCCTCTGTCTGAATGTATGTAGGATGGCATACCAAACAGGGAAAACAACTGGCACAGGCAATTAATAACAGTTGATGCTGTCATATCCTGGCAAGGAAAAGCGAACGGAAATCTAGAGTACTCATCAATTATCGTAAGAAGATATTTGTTCCGGGAGTTTGAAGGAAGAGGTCCTTTGAAATCAATATTTAGACGTTCAAAAGGAGAAGTCGCTTTAATAAGATTTCCTGTGGATACTTTGCAAAACCTGGGTTTCAGCTCAGCACAAACTGCACAACTAGATATCGTCCTCTTCACATCATCAACAGAAAAAGGTAGGTTCTTAGAACGCACAAAGTGAAGAAGGCGAACAACTCCTGGATGGCACAGAGAGTTATGTAGGTCTTTCAGATTAGTTTCACCCATGACAGAAGCAGAATATCCGCGAGATAATGCATCGGCGACTTTGTTTTCTTTGCCACAACGGTAGATTATATCAAAACTGTAACAAGAAAGTTCTATTCGCCAACGCTGAATCTTGTCATTCTTTATTTTCCCATGGTGGTTCATATCGTACATGAAAGAAACTGATCGTTGGTCTGTAATGAGTTGGAAATGAGTACCAAGTAAATAATGACGCCATTTTCTAATAGCTTCGACGATGGCATAAGCTTCTTTCTCCACCGCTGAGTGATGCCGTTCACTTGGTGATAGTGTTCTGGAAAAAAATGCAACGGGTCTACCATTTTGTGTTAACGTAGCAGCTATAGCAGTATCCGAAGCGTCGGTTTCCACTATAAGGGGCAAGTCGAGATCCACAGTAGTCATCACAGATTGAGCAAGTTCATTTTTTAATGCTGCATATGAGCTTACAATAGTACCTGGTAATGGAAAGATTTTATTTTGTATAAGGGGTTGAATTTTATCGGAGAAATGAGATATCCATTGTGAATAATACGCAAAGAGACCAATGACTCGCTGTTGGGATTTAAGATCTCGTGGAGGTGATAAATTCCATAATGCTTGAAGTCTATCGGGATCAGGTTTGATCATTTTATGAGAAACTTCATAGCCTAGAAGTTTTACTTGTTTAACGCCAATAACACTTTTATTCTCATTGAATGTTAGCCCATATTTTCTGGATGCTTCATAGAACCGGGCAAGATTTTTTGCATGTTGTTCTGTGTTTTCACCACAAATAGTTATATTATCTAAATAAGCAAATGTAGCTTGAAGATTTTCATTTCTGATAATCTGACTGATAACTCTCTGAAAACACGAAACACCGTTTGTGACACCAAAGGGAATACGACGGAACTGATAGAGGTTGCCGCAAGCTTCAAAAGCTGTGAACAGTTTCTCTTCTTCTTTGATGGGTATTTGATGGTAAGCACTCTTTAAATCCAAAGTGCTAAATACAGTATATTTTGAAATCTTTTCAATTATCTCATCAATTTTTGGGAGTGGATAGGCATCCAATAATGTGAAACGATTTATCGTTTGGCTGTAATCAATCACCATTCTACGCTTGTGGCGTTCATTAGTAGTGACCAAAACTTGGGCGCGCCAAGGGGAGTTTGATGGTTCGATGATCTGCTCACTGAGTAAATTTTTGATTTCCAGCTTGATGAAATGTTCATCTGAAGTGGAATGTCTTCGTGATTTTGTAGCGATCGGAACACATTTGGGTGTTAGGTTATGAAACAAGGGAGGTGGATCAATATGTGCAGCAACAAGATTACACAGTGAAAATGGATTGTTTTTACCTTCAAATGGAATTTCGAGTTTATTATGCAAGCGTAAAAAATCATGACCTAATAGCACATCAGCACACAGATTTGGCAACACTGAAAGTTTGATATGTGAGTAACTCGAGTCTTTATAACGTAGATTTACATAACAGTGACCATGAGTATGAGTTGTCAGACTTGTGGAAGCCATTGTAATTGAAGTGCGAGAATGCTCTACCTTTATATGTTGTTTTTGAACGACTGCACAAGAAATATAACTGTCTGAGCTCCCAGTATCTACGAGGGCTTGTAGGGGAATGTCATTTACAAAAAGCTGCACAACCGCATTGGAAAGAGACTGTGGAGCGGCGGCTAGAGTCATGGAAGACAACAAAGAACTAGTAACTGATGTAGTTTTGGTGTACGATTTTGACCGGCAGACCTTCTGATAATGCCCCTTCTTACCACAGAGTTTGCATACTGCATCCCTTGCAGGACATTTAGAGCGAGGATGTCTAGTAAATCCACAGAAGTAGCATTTCTCATTTATTGAAGCAGTCAATCCTGTTTCACCCACATAAGAGTTTAGTTCATTTGATGTATCACTGTTTGATATTGCAGCAGAATTGGAGAATTCGGAAGGATGAAACGAATGTGATTGTTGATAAGCCATTTCTAGGGATCGAGCTTGTTCATAAGCAGTATCAAGATCAAGTAATTTGTTTTCCAGAAGACGTTGTCGTATATTATTAGATTGCATTCCACTTATGAATGCGTCACGTATTGCATCATTCTGATTTTGTTCAGCCGAGACAGGTTTGAATGAACAATCTTTTGCCAGAGATTTCAGTTTTTGTAAAAATTGGTCGAGGCTCTGTCCAGTTTCTTGTTTGCATGTGGATAATAGATGTCGAGCAAAAATCTCGTTCTTTGGTTTGACATACAGTTTCTCAAGAGTACTAAGAGCGCCGTCAAATGTTTTACATTCAGCAATGTATTCATATACAGTAGGTGAGATATAGTTGATGAGAACATCAAGTTTGTCTGAATCTGGAGTTGAAGATTTAGTGATAAAAGTATTGAATGTACGAAACCAATGATTCCAAATCTTCGAAGATGTTTGGCAATTGGAATCAGCATCAAAGCGTTCGGGACGTAATATCTTGTCCATAATAAAACGAATAAATTGTAGTGTTTATGAGTTAATCAAACATTCACCGATCAAGTGAGAATACTGAGGGCCCGCAATAAAGGCTTTATTCGTTTTATAATTCCAGTATAGGATCTGGTTTAAACAAAAATGAAAGATGTGAATAGTGTATAATATAAATGCTAAACGTTTATGAAAATGTTCACACCACACATGTATTTGCAGTTGATTCGATAAACAAAGCTTCTGTTATCAATCTCTCCCTGCACCCTGTGACAATAGATTTTAAAACTGTCATCCTATCCCATCCTATTGTATGGTTGTGTGTAACTGCATGTGGTTCTATAGCTGAACTATTCTCTAGATTTCTTATCTTATTCGGGTCAACCAATCTACATTTTGCTAGGTTCGGCTAGTCTGACTGCCCCTGTTCTACTGGATTGACCTATGTATTTGACCTGATAATCATTGCAGGCAGGGTATTAGATAAACTAAATTGTTTTGTTTTAAAGGCTCCGCAGGATTGATCCTTTAACCGACAAAGCTTGTTTCTAGTTTGTGGGTTTGACTGCCACGTGTTTTCCTGCCGTAACACATATATTATAATGTTTCTAGTATTTCATTACAGTTCACAGTTTAACCTCTTTATATTATCACTACACTTGATATCTGTCAACCCTTGCTTGAACTTACATTCACTTCAGTATTCCTCAGGTTTTGGTATTTCTTTGTATGTATTTTGTGGTGATTATTTTCCCCTCACACCATTGAATTAAAACTCAACCCCCGCCACCGTCCAATGAAACCGTATTCTTTTGATTATTAACTGTACATCGGTATGTCACCCTTTTGTCTATTCACACAATCTTATGTTCCGAATGACTGCACATTTTTCATATACGTCCACTTGACAAAGCTTAACACTGAACTATCACTCCATATTATACATGTACCCCAACAATACAGTTTCTGATATAATTTCCACATGACTTTAATGGCTATTTGTACTCTCATATTTGTGGTCATATAGAGTACAGTCTGTAGAGTCTGAGGAAGAAGTTATCGAAAGTTGACAGTTGGAAGCCGTGACCAGTAGGGTACAGCAGGTTGAAGATGAGACAGTAACTCATCGAAGAAGACATTGCGAAATGGTCGCGCTGTATCGTGAATTGGTAGAAGTTAGAATTCATGGGCCATTGGATCGGATCCCAGTGGCTCAATGGTTTACGAGCTCGCTTTGTAACCAGAAGGTCCTGTGTTCAAACCCCGGTGGGAGCGTACTGATGAAGAGTCCCGGTCTAGGACGAAACAGCTGTCCAGTACTCCCAGGTTTTCCAGTGGTTCTCTAACTGATGTCAGCTCATGATGAACTTCTCCATCTAATAAGTATAAAACTTGGGCGCTGTGGTAGAGTATAACTCCTTTATGGATAAGATTTTATTATGATAAATCACACAGTGTTGTTATGCAGTAATATTAACTGATGACTTTTCGAGCACAAACTACTGCTCATAATCATATCAAGTTTTCTAAAACAATTTTTTTGCTGAAAGCCATCTTGTTTTGATTACACTATGGGGATTTATAATTAATGGTGAGTTTGATTTCCTCTTTTGCGTGTGTGTGTGTGTACATGGAGCTATGCCCCCTTGGTTCGTGTTCTGAAATTTCGATCAGTGGCTCATGGTGAATTTGAACCTCGCACTCCACCTACCATCGAGGTTTGACCAGCCGGGTGGAGTATCATTAGCCTTCACATATAATAGGTTTGGCTCATTACCTACCAACTGGACGTGGAATTCCAAGTGGTTGTTGAGTAAGTAAGTAATAGCGTATTCAACTCTCACTTATGTGTGTGTGTGTGTGTATTGAAACATATCTCTGAAGATCTTTAATGGTATCTTTAAAAAAAGCTGTTTATTGGATCGTATTTCTTATCACCTTTATTCTCCTTTTATATTTTCACATTCAGAATTCGCTTGCATTACCGCTGACGCCTACGAATTTAGTTGGTATTAAACCTGGCGGCTATAGTTCATCTGGCTCTTCATCATCAAATAGTCTGTTTACAAATTTCAGTAGTTTTCAAATGCCAGATGCTTGGATCGCTCCATCTCCACGTAGTCCACAATCAAGTAATAAATATTCACGTACTACTATCGATTCTGTACAGTCGTCTGCGAATTCATCCGGCTATTCCGCCTCCTACTCATCCTCTTCTTCATCATCTTCTTATGGATTACACCTGCCTATTGGAACACCACTTACTAATCCCGGACTGATGGGTGCTACGCCTAGTTTAAGTAACTTACATGTTGGACAGGGTCAAGTGATGACATCTCGTAAACCTTCTCAGCCACCTCCTCCTCTGAATCCTGGGGAGTTTCGAACTCCCTTATCACCGAATCCTTTTCAACAGAAAAGTAGTCACAATAGCAGATTCGGTCCTGATTCATCGTACACTTCATGTCCATCTCCAGCTGTGCATCGATCATCGACTTCTCAAGAGATGATGATTATTCCTAGATCTCCGTCGCCACCTTCTTAGTTGGTGAAATCAGGTGTGATAGAATTAATTATTGAACATTTGTGCTTTTAATTCAATAAGAAGATTGCCTGTTGTATTTCGTATATATATATATATATATTCTTTTGTATCTTAAAAGAAGCTTTTTTCTGAAATTGATATTGTCTTCTCGAATAAATTGATCGAAGAATTGTATCTGTAGCTGTCTGTCTTCTGCCTTTAAATTGTTCATCTGAAGTAATGACAACTAGTGGTGGCTGTTAGGGATGCCTTCTGTCCCCAGCCTTCTGCTTAATTTCAGCATAGATGTACTAATGGAATTAACCGTAACTGAATTCACCCACATAGGGGTTGATTTGTCACTATGGTATAGTCTCGTTGACTTAAAATATGTGGGTGATACAGTCCTCCTAGCTGAAGAGGCTGGTAAAATTCAGAGGCTTCTTAACGCATAGAGCAGAAATCTTCAGTTGTATAGCATCATCCCAAAGGGACTGATTGTTGGTGAAATCTGAGCACGGATGCAAAATGCGCATGTTGCATTTGGCTACTCACGCCACCTTTAGCAGAGATATGATATCTGGCTATCGATAAATGCCACCAATCCCACTACTGCTACACAAACTTTAAAGCTTAGCTTGAAGCCCTATATTCCACTGGGAACGTAAAGGGAAAAAATACTATATATATATATATACATATATATATGTACATTTAAGTTATATATAAATATGTTCTTGGAAAGTGGAAGAGGAGACTAAAATGGACACGTCCACTGCTGCAAGTACTAATCACTAACAACGAAAGAAATTTGAACGACGTAACTCTCTTCAATAAACTAGGCAGCAGCAGCCCTTCAACCACAGTCAGCCCTACGAATGAGGATATCAAAATCGGAATGGGAAAACGAAGGCAAATATTCATCAATATGAAATCAGTTTGAAAAATCCCTTACTGTCAGCACATAGAACGAAATTCGGATTTTCAACAGTACCTTTAAGTCAGTCATTCTGTTTAAGTCCTAACCTTGACACTTCACGAAAAGTGTTTCCAACAAGCTCTTGCACATTTTAGCCGACAGCTACCTTCCATCCATAATGATAGCTAGAAAGAATAAGTAACAAGAGACTCTTGTAATTACCTGATCAACAACCTATTTCCATTACAAATGTAGACAGATGAGATACACTGCAAAGACGCTGGTGAGTGACATCGCACGCCAGTCGAGTGCGTGCAACCTGAATGGGAGACGGCAAGTTGAGCTTGATTACTTACTTACTTTACTTCGGCTGTCTCCTACGGGAGGATGAGCCGGCTTCATGAACATCTCGAATCATCGCTGCCCAGGCGCGGCGATCTGATGCAAGGTTTTGCGACAAGGTTATCCAATTCTTGTTCTACAGACGGAGTCCGTAGACGGTTTGTAGCCCCAGGCACTCCATATCAGCCTTGACTGTACCAACCCATGTTTTCAGCTGTCCACCCCTGCGACATCGTTTGTAAGAGAGTTCATGAAGTTTCATGGGAATTTGGTACGAGTGATGTCCCCAGAATCGCTCGGCCTTTTGTTTGAGAGTGCAGCTCTAGCCTTTACACAACCAAGTGTGACCTACAAGGCAGTAGGAGTAGAGTAGGGAGTCCACTATCCATTGGCAGCCGGTGACCGGAGTTCAGTTCATACGCCTTTTTGAATGGGGCCAGACATCCAGGACATCCAACAAGCCCTTTGTCCATACGTCTGCTGGTGAGCTCCAGTGAGCTTCATACGCCAGTCGTTGGAGGTTTGGAATCAGGGTTTAGCCATCTCCCCTAGACTGTCATCCAATGAACAGTCAACCCGGTGAAGAGCGCCGGGCATACGCTTTCGCCCCTCACTTTGGTGAAAAACACCTCCACCACGTGAAGGCAGTGAGTAGGACTTCCTCAGGAGAGGCTATGTAAGACGCCCGGTCATATAGGAGCATTTCAAGAGGTGTGCGGAGGGGTGGCCAACCCGCAGCGCAAGGCACCCACCCGCGACCATCCTGAGGCTTTGGAGGCTTGATTCCGACAGTGACATAGAAGAGATCGTGTGATGAAGAGATGAGAGCTTATGGGTAATCTTGCAGCCAGCTAGAGAGAAATATGGAGGAGGGAGGACTAAAAATAGAGGTGTGTTGTTGAAGCACAAGGTTCCACTCATAACCCAAAGGAATAATAATCATAATTGTATAAAGTAAAAGATTTACATTGCAATTTTCCACTCACCTTTGATATAAACATTCAGTAGTAAATGTAAGCACACTATGCAGTGGAGTTTCATTTCAAATGAAACACACAATAGTGAAAATTCAGACTTTTTGACACACATTTATTCAAGCCTATTATTATCTGAAGGTTGACCAGTTATGTAATACTAAAAGCTGGCTAAATAAATTAATTTTACGACGTTTATGGATTCCTTGTATAATTAATTATCTTATGCTGAAAGTTGAACTGGCTGGCATTATGTATCAGGTATCCTTAACGATGTTAACCGTATATAAATCGTTAAATTTGGAAGACAATGCATCGTAACACGTACGTTTGCTTGTTATTGCGTTTAGGAATCAATGCTAGGAAAATTACATGCAGTGTTGAATGGTATTTGATAGAAACGAGTTTATTTTTGCTAAATATAAACTGGCTGGCTGGCTGGATTCAACATAGAACTTGGCACCGAAGTGCAGCAGTTCGATTTGCCACGTTCCAAAGAGCACACAAAGGTAGACAAGAAAATGAGTGGAGAGAATCAATAGAGTTTTGACAAGTATAAGAATGAAACAGAATGAGTAATGGTAGAAAGGAATATGAAGGTTAAAGAGACTGAATACATCTGCGCCATTGACAACGATTTTGAGCCATGTCACCTATTGTCTCCAGCCATTGATTCTTGGAGTCCCGAGGGCCCAACCCGGAAGTCTGCATCTCCCTACCTGACTCAGTTTAACTGTCAGGGATTTCATGGATTGATGCCATGTTTTTGTTTGGCCACCACTTACTGTTTTCCAACCTGCACCTATATCAGCTAGTAACGCCCGTCGGGGGAGACGATGGTTAGGCATGCGCAGCACGTGACCGAAAGCTGCTACCTTGACGTGGTGGTCGGGCTTGCAAATCGCAATGACCCAACGAGCTACACTGGCTGGAACTTAAGTTCCTGTAGGTGCTACCATGCCAGAAAGGTTGTTTGGATAGCGGTTAGACAAAAAGCAGCTACCCAATCCAATGCCATGACTCAAACAAAATCACAAAATATCATGCCGGATCGGTCGGGGCCCGGATTAAATATAAACAGCCTATAGTTGTAAACAATTTGTAAAGATTATTTCATATACAAATTGCGAATTGTACATTTTTGCCGACGGAACTTTGAATGATATTCACTCTTTATAGTTGGTTCACACTCATTTTATTATTTGAACATATTACTCCTTTTTAATTGGTGGATGGTGACTAGTAGCGGTAAAAGAGTCTCGAGAACATTGTGTCAGATAACCAGGTGTCTATCAAGAAAGAGATCAACATAGATGATGAAACCCATAAAATAAAATGTTCAAGGGGGGAACCTAATTAATAAGGAGGAGGAACGAATAAAACAGTGGGCTGATCACTTCAAAGGACTCTTGAATCGACCATTATTATTATTATTGTTCCCTTGGGTTCCTAGTGGAACATAGGGCTTCGACTGCACATCTCCACTTGCTTCTGTCTTCTGCTGTATTTTTCACTTGCATCCATGTTATTCCATACTGTTTCAGTTCCTCATCACACGATCTCCTCCATGTCACCCTTGGACGTCCCACCCGCCGCTTCCAATTCGGGTTCCACTCGAGGGCCTGACGCGCGATGTCACCCAACGGCCTCCTCAGCGAGTGTCCAATCCATTTCTACTTTCTCCTGCATATTTGTTGGGAGATTGGTTCCTGTTTTGTTTGTTCCCATGGCTTCTTGTTGATGATTCTTTCCGGCCATCTAATCTTCAGTATAGAACGAAGACAGTTGTTGATAAAGGTCTGCAGCCTGTTGAAAATATTCTTGGTGACCCGCCAAGTTTCTGATCCGTAGAGCAAAACTGACTTGACGTTTGTATTGAAAATCAGAATTTTGTTGTTGATGCTGAGTGACGAAGATTTCCAGATTGGTTTCAGGTTGATGAATGTGTTTCTCGCTTTACCGATTCTCGATTTGACATCCTCGTCCGTTCCTCTTGTGGTTGAGACAATGCTCCCTAGATAAGTGAAAGAAGTAACCTCTTTCAAATCCTTCCCGTTGATGGTGATTGGCGCTGGATGTTGCTGCTGTTGCTGTTGTTGTTGTTGGTTATTTTCGTAACTTCCGTCTTGTCTATGTTCACCTGGAGTCCTGTCTTTGCGGCTTCTTCGACCAGTTTGTCGGTTTTCGCTTGTAAGTCTTCGATTTTGTGTGGCATCAAACATAAATCATCCGCGAAATCCAGGTCTTCTAGGTTCTTCACGTCGGTCCAGGATATCCCTGTCTTCTCGTTTCCCACTGTCTGATGCATAATCCAGTCCACCACAATTAGGAATATAATTGGTGATAATAAGCACCCTTGTCTGACTCCTGTGTTTACTCCAAATGCCTTGCTGAGTTTTCCGTTGTGGATCACTTGACGTGTGGCGTTGTCGTACAGCTGTTGAATAAGGTTGATGAATATTTGGGGTACGCCGTAGTACTCGAGTAGTTTCCAAATTACTTCGCGGTAAAAGCTGTCGAAGGCCTTCTCAAAGTCTATAAAGTTGAGGTAGAGGTTTGATTGCCATTCCATGCTTTGTTGGATGATGATGCGTAGAGTTGCAATTTGGTCAGAACATGATTTGCCTTTCATGAATCCAGCTTGTTCTGGCCGGAATTCTGTATGCGGTGCGTCCTTCATCCCCTCCAGGATGATGCGACTCAGATTTTTACCTGGCGTCGACAGTAGCATGATTCCTCGCCAGTTCTTGCAGAGTCCTAAGTCGCCCTTCTTTGGTAGTTTCACGAGGTAACCTTTCCTCCAGTCAGTAGGTACCTTTCCCTCTTTCCAGATCTTTTGCAATAATGGAGTCAGCA